TGCTCAGGTCCCTTCCTACCCTAGAAACTATGAAACTATGTGTGGCATAGGTAGCCCCAATGGTTGCCACCATTTAAAATTCTCGCATGTAAAGTTGTAATATAAGCTACAGGGATGTCTTGATTCTGCATATTTCTTTGAGTTCCATAAGATACGTCTAACAAAACACAATGCTGGATTCTCAGAAAGCTTGCCTAATCCTCTGCACAACGGGGCAGATAGTCTTCTCTGCTTGCAACTGTTTATTGTGTGCTGACTGCTTTATGGTCTCCCTGGCAGAAGCTTTCACTCAGCCAGGTCTTCAGAAGTGATATAAGTATTATTTAAATCTAGTCTAATATTTAAAATGCCAAGCCTGTAGCCTATCTGGAAAACATTTATACCCTTTGTTTACTACTCTGTTTTCAAATGTTGTTTACATCATAAACCTAGGAAATTTGGATATAAATGTTTTGGTTTAAATTAAAGTGTTTATGATAAGGAATTAAGTTCGAGCATTGTAGAAAAAATGCTCTGTTTTTGTTGCAAAACTAAATAAATCACAAAGTAATCTGTTTTGTGTTAAATAAAATTCTCTACAGAACAATTGCTGGTTGGACTGAAAGACAAAGACACCATTGTCAGGTGGTCTGCTGCAAAAGGGTAGGTTTCTTGCAGTTAATTTAATACTAATAAAGTAGTTTAACAGTTAAATGTTTTCCATGGTTAATCAGTTGCATCTGTTTCTCTGCTTAAACTAAATCCATCTCATCAACTGCTAGCATGATGATTAGTATTCTGGGATAATGGCTGTCCTATTCCCACAAAGAATTTTAACCCAGTTTGGGACTGGAATGACAGTGCAGGATTTATTTTTGAGTTATTTTGCAGTAATATTTCTTCATCTGTTAACTAGCTAATGTTTTTCCATTTGAATTTTTTTTTGGTAAGGCATGCATCTTCATCAGTGACTTGGATGATGGGGTAAAAAGCACCTGTTCAAATTCGCAGACGACACTAAGATGTGGGGGAATGTGGGCACGCTAGAAGGGAGGAATAGGCTGCAATTGGACCTACGCAGGTTACAGGGGTGGGCAGATGAGAACAGGATGGGCTTCAACACTGACAAGTGCAAGGTGATGCACCTGGGGAGGAACAATCGGCACCATACCTACAGGCTGGGGCACTCCCTTCTCGTCAGTACAGAGGCAGAAAAGGATCTTGGAGTCATCATTGACTCCAAGATGAACGTGGGCCGGCAGTGTGGGGAGGCAGTCAGGAAGGCCAACCATACCTTGTCGTGCATCCACAGATGCATCTCGAGCAGGTCGAAGGAGGTGATCCTCCCTCTCTATGCGGCACTGGTTAGGGCGCAGCTGGAGTACTGCGTCTAGTTCTGGGCGCCGCACTTCAGGAGGGATGTGGACAACATGGAGAGGGTCCAGAGGAGGGCCACTCGCATGATCGGGGGCAGCAGGGCAGGCCCTATGAGGAGAGGCTATGGGACCTGAACCTGTTCAGCCTCCACAAGAGAAGGCTGAGGGGGGATCTAGTGACCTGTTACAAACTAGTCAGAGAGGACCAGCAGGCATTGGGGGAGTCCCTGTTTCCCCGAGCACCGCCAGGAGTGACCAGGAATAACGGTCACAAGCTGGCAGAGGGTAGGTTTAGGTTAGATATCAGGAAGCGCTACTTCATGGTCAGGGTGGCTAGGATCTGGAACCAACTTCCAAGAGAAGTGGTGCAGGCTCCTACCCTGGGGGTATTTAAGAGGAGGTTAGATGAACACCTTGCTGGGGTCATTTGACCCCAGTACTCTTTCCTGCCATGGCAGGGGGTCAGACTTGATGATCTGCTCAGGTCTCTTCCGACCCTACCAACTATGAAACTATGCTATTTTGTACTTCTGTGCTTTTAGCTTGGCTTTGTGTTGTAATGCAACACTACTGAAAGAATGCATTATTATTGATACTTTAAATCCAGTCATTTTAGGGTAAGTTTACAATAATTTAAAGAAAATGTGTAATTATACATTGAATACAATACCAATGAGTTACTCTTATTTTCTTTTCCAGAATTGGTAGAATAACTGGACGGCTTCCAAAAGAGTTAGCAGACGATGTGGTTGGATCTCTACTGGACTGCTTTAGGTAAAATACTGTTTTATTTTTATACAAAGAATGTCTTGAATATTAAAATGCTTTCCCTTCTACATATATAATTTTACAATTGAAATGTGATGACTACTGGAATGGGATGGCAACAGTCAGGCAGAAATTGGATCAGAGCAACTATAGAACTGTAATGGGCTTATATTTATGAAAAATGCTATTGGAACTTTAATAATCATGCAAAATTTGAACTTCATTATTTTAGGCTCTAAGTTAATAAAACAGAACAAAATCTTGGGTTTCAGTCGGTCATTCAGTTAATGCACAACGTTTTCATGGGAAGAGATCAATATTTAATATTTAAATTGTGAGTGGAATTGGTGATTCCATCCCAGTCTCTAGGAAATAGTTTTTCATACCACATAAATTATATGTGCAAAATTTGTTATGACGTATGCTCTGGCATGGGCAGGTCAGGCTTAATAATGGTGCATTGGTGGAGCTCTATGCTCACGCTATTTATGTTTAACACAAAATTGATTCTAAAACATGAAAAAAAGGGGGAATGTATTCTTTTACATGCAAAGGTGATATTTTTGCTAATATGAAAATATGACTGTTACGATTCCTTTCCTTCATTCCAAAGGTGAATATTTAAAATAGCAGAAAAAATGAAGAGAGTGTATATGTGTGTGTGTGTGTGTGTGTGTGTGTATAAATATAAAAATAAAAAAATAAGTATGGCTTCCAGGTAATAGTGAAATATTGTACGTGTACTTTTCAAGTTAGTAATGCTGTGGAAGGACTGTTAATAGTGTCATAGTATGTCAGTTAGGGGTGTGCAAAGCTGGCCTTATTCGATGCATATTCGGCTTGAATCAGGGACGGGGATTCGATTAGTTGATTTGGATCACTGTCTGTGTTTCGATTCGGCCGAATTTGAAGATTTGATGCTGATTCAGAGAATCGGAGATTCGGCTCATGATCGCTGCAATGCTGGGGTGGATGGAGTGTTCCGCAGGAGTGCGGTGGGGCCCTTCATGTGCTTAGCAGCGAGCCCAGAAGTGAACCGGAAGTACTTCCATTCCACTTCCAGGTCCACTGGGGAGTGAATGGGGGGGCCCCCCACCCTCCCCAGCTTGGTGATTTGGCCATGGGGGGACCCTGGGTACACAACCCCCCCCCCCC